AATAATATAAGAGGGGCCTAGAGATGTGACTAATGAACAGAGCATATGTTATTTTAGTGCCACGAATGTCTACCTTTTTTTTCTGGACCCTATTTTGAAATTGGCATCTTTTTTATTTTGCGTGAAATTGGCCAAATTGCCAATTTCTGACCACCATATTGGGTAGTCCAAATTAGTAAATGGGAGGTTTCTTGTACTCAGCTGATAGATAAAATGGAGTTTGGTGAACTGGAACAATGGAATTGGCTGAAAATTGGGCTCAAAGTCGGCGAAATCGCCGATATGCATATGTCGCCGAGACCGCTAACTTCGCGGGAGCATAATTCCATGAGTTTTCGACCAAATTTCGAACTTTTGGTGTCATTACCATCGGGAAAAGATTCTCTATCATTTCATAAGAAAAAATAATTTTTTTTTTAAATTGAGCGACATAGAATGACAGTTTCAGAAAGGGGCCTGAAACAGTCAAAGGGTTAAAATTTAAGCTGTTTCTTTAGAACTTAATTTTTTCTGTCGATTGAGTACAAGAAACTACCCATTTACCAATTTCAACTACCCAATAATGTGGTCATAAATTTGCACTTTGGCCAATTTCATGAAAATTAAAAAAATATGACAATTTCAAAATGGGGTCCAAAATGAACAATGCAGACATTCCTGGCTCTAAAATAACATTTTCTTTGTTCATCAGTCACGTCTTCAGGCCCCTCTGATATTACTCTTGCTTTCTATTTTGAATTTTTATTCAAACAAAAAATAGAAGATTTACTGTTATGCAGACTACTGCAATATTGTAATAATTGTATAAATAATGTCAACTCATTCATGACTGCATATTAGAATGGCTACTTAGACATTTATTGAAAAATGACATCATTTGTTTACTTTTGAACATCGACAAAAATCAAACATTTCCCCTACTTTGAGCTCCATTTCAAGGTTCTTTTCGTAGTAAAACCAATCAAAATCACCTCTATTTCTGTAATATGCTTTCCATTCTATCAAATGAGACCAAGAAAATGAGAATACAACCATAAATACTATACGAAAATAAACCTCAAAGTCGGCATTTTAATTAAAAAAAAAAGGTCTGGTTTTTTTCTCATTATGCACTGCGTGCTGCAGGATTTTTTTTATATGGTGCACACTGACCACACAGACCCATTCTCTCACATGTGGGCCTACCAGCTTTCTCCTGCTTGATTTGAAGCTGCTAGAATATGAGTATATGTATATACGTCAAACACTGTGGCTCGTAAGACGTATATATACAACCGAAACAGTCAAAAGGTTAAATAAAGAGGATTTTTTTTTTTTAATTTCTACAATTAGAATTTTGTATGAAGGGATGTGGTGGGTGTGGAGATGAGGACCAATTGTGATATGGGGAGTGGCTCAAAATAAGTTAAGAACTACTGGCCTAACTGTTGTAACAACAGTGATTTAGCAAAACTTTACAAAATTTTCTAAACGTTTCCATGTTGCAGATTATGTGTTTGATAGTCTCAGTTAAAACTACTGGCTCAGAAGGCTTTTATACGAAAGCTAATCTTTTGTGATTTTTTTTTTTAGATATCTCAAGAACGCTTAAAGAGAATTGCTTCAAATTTGGTATGTACATGCCTGGGGTTCATGTTATATATAGTATAAATTTTAATTTTGCAGTTCCCTAGTGGCAGCATTAGTTATAAGTAATTTGTTTATTGAGGTGTTTGTTTTGGTAATACATTAAAAATTATTTTGATAAATTGCTTAAAATTTGACACGTGTGTCTTGGAGTCATACAGTACGCTGCGTTCATTTAGATTTCTAAATAATCCAAGTGGTGAACATAGTCATTTACATTATTTTTAGACTGGGTGTTAGATATTCAGTATATGCTATATTTTGTGTTAAATGCATAATTTTTAAAGTATAAAGATTATGATGAATCTCTAGGAATTGGGAATTTGTAGGACTCAAAAATTTCAAAAAATGTTAAGTATATTTTTACAATTTAATAAATTTTGCCAATTTTTACTTACTTTTTTACATATTAAGATGACTGAGTCTGATACCAGAAAAGCTAAATGTTGTACTGTATATACAACCTTTTACATCATTTCTTAATACTGGAATGTTTCTAATATTACTTTTATGAAAAAATTAAATGGCTAAAAAGAATATCCACACATATTACAATGGACCCTCAAATTTCGTAATTAATCCGTTCCAGAGAGTGTGACGAAAGTTGAAATTTACGAATGGCAAAACCATTTTCCCTATAAGAAATAATGTAAATCCAATTAATCCATTCCAGACACCCAAAAGTATTAACAAGAAATATTTTTTTTACATTAAATATAGATTTACATACAGTAAACAATGAGACATCAAGTAGAAAGCAAAAATAACGTTCACACTTACCTTTATTGAAGACTCTTATTGGTGTATGGAAGACAGGAGGAGGGGAGGGTGTGGAGAAGTTACACTATTGTTTGGAAGGGTAATCCCCTTCCATAAAGACTTTAGGTACCAAGTCCTTATCTGGGGTTACTTTCCTTCTTTGTTTTTTAATACCTCTAGGACCAGCTTAAGAGTCACTGGACCCCTGTCACTCAAAAAATTGTTTCAGATAGCTCTGTTTCTGGCATCTCTTTAAAATTTGCCTCAAATGGGACAAGACATTGTCATTGTACATGTTGCCGAAATGGCTTGTAACAGCTATGTCAGGGTGATGTTCCTCCATAAACGTTTGCACCTCACTCCACTTTGCACAAATGTCCTTAAACTTTGAAGAAGGCACCTTCTTCCATCTGTCTTTTCTTCTGAGGCAATTTCCTCAGCTCTGATCTGTTTACTGTTGCAGATGAAGGCCTTGCAGCTCTTCAGTACTTAGCTCTTCCATCTGTCTTTTCTTCTGAGGCAATTTCCTCAGCTGTGCTCTGTTTGCTGTTGCAGACGAAGGCCTTGCAGCTCTTCAGTAGTTAGCTCTTCATTGTGGTCCTCCAACTCTTCCACATCCTGGCCACTCACATCCAACCCCATGGAATTCCCCAATCCCACAATTGATTGCACAACAGGTGTAGGGTCAACAGGGTCAGCTTCAAACCCTTCAAATTCTTTGTCGAGGACACAATCTGGCCACAATTTTCTCCAAGCAGAGTTCAAAGTCCTGGAAGTCACTCTCTGCCAAGCCTCATCTATAAGGCCTATGCAATGGAGGATATTGAAGTGATCTTTCCATAACTCTTTTAGGGTCAGTTGAGAGTGTCTGAGGTCACATCAAAGCACCTTTGAAACATAGCTTTGGTGTACAGTTTTTTGAAGTCCAAAATGATCTGCTGGTCCATGGGCTAGATGAGAGGAGTGGTATTAGGGGGCAAGAACTTCACTGTGATGAAACTAAACTCCTCCACCATTTGGTGATCCAAGTTTGGAGGATGAGCAGGAGTATTGTCCATTACCAGGAGGCACTTGAGTGGCAATATTTTTTCCAGGAGGTATTCCTTCACACTTGGGACAAACACTTCATTGAACCAATTACGGAAAATTTCCCTTGTGACCCATGCCTTACTGTTTGCCTTCCACATCACACACAATTTACTCTTGACGACATTGTGTTTATTGAACACTCTGGGATTTTCAGAGTGAAACACCAGTAAAGGCTTCACTTTGAAATCCTCACTAGCATTACCACAGAACATGAGAGTTAGCCTGTCTTTCATAGGCTTGTGTCCTGGGAGTGCTGTTTCCTCCTGCATGATGTAGGTCCTCTTTGGCATTTTCTTCCAAAAGAGGCCTGTTTCGTCACAATTGAACACTTGTTGGGGGACGAATCATTCAGCCTCTACATAGTCCATTAATTCCTGCACGAATTTTTCAGCCTCATATTTGTCAGAACTGGCAGCCTCGCCATGCCTTACTACACTGTGTATGCCACTACCAGCCTTTGCTTGCCTTAAATACACTAACATCAGCACTCGTTCCATGCATTTTCTTTGAGATCGGCATGCAACTGCCTTGCCTTTTCACAAATTATCAACTGCATGACACTATCTCCTGCTAACTGTTTTTGGTTGATCCACACCAACAACAAATTCTCAACATCTTTGAGTATTCGCGATCTCTTTTTTGTGAGCATATCTACCCCTTTTTGCAACAACAGCTTCCTTTATTTCCTTTATCTTCACCACAATGGAAGTGATGGTTGTATGGGGCTTCCCATACATCCTGCCAAGATGGCTCAAACGCACGCCACTTTCATATTTTGCAATGATTTCTTTCTTGAATTCTATCATGTTTCTCACATTCTTTGCCAAAGGGCTGGCACTGCAAGCTTTCTTTGGGTCCATGGTGGCTTATTTAGAAGTTTCAAGCACAAAAAAGAATGGAATATTACAAAATGTATTGTATGGATGCGTGGAGTGATGTTCACTCGCTAATAAACAATGCCACATTGGCTGGTAGTAGTGTGGCGCGGATGCTGGGAGGCCACTCGTACGCGTTCCGGATGAGTGATAAATGCCGAGCCAAATTACGAACCGCAACCCTATATTTTGACAAAAAAAAAGTTGTCAAAAGTCAAAATTTATGAATCGCGAGCCTTACGAAACTTGAGGGTCCACTGTACAGTGGACCCCTGGTATTCGATATTAATCCGTTCCTGAGAGCTCATCGAATACCGATAATATCAAAAACCGAATCAATTTTCCTCATAAGAAATAATGGAAATCAAATTAATCCGTGCAAGACACCCAAAAGTATGAAAAAAAAAATTTTTTGCTGCATGGAATATTAAGTTTAATGCAGTAGAATAACAACAATAAAATAATTGACACTTACCTTTAATGAAGATCTGGTGATGATTGATGGGATGGGAGGAGGGGAGAGGTGTTTGTGTTTAGAAGGGGAATCCCCTTCCATTAGGACTTGAGGTAGCAAGTTCTTTTCTGGGGTTATTTCCCTTCTTCTTTTAATGCCACTAGGACCAGCTTCAGAGTCACTGGATTTCTGTTGCACAACATATCTGTCCATAGTGGCCTGTACCTCCCATTCCTTTATGACATCCCTAAAGTGTTTCACAACATTGTTAGTGTAATAGTTACCAGCACGGCTTGCAATAGCTGTGTTAGGGTGATTGTCATCAAAAAAGGTTTGCACTTTAAGCCACATTGCACACATTTCCTTAATCTTTGAAGTAGGCTACTTCTTCAATTTCTCTATCCCCTCCTCCAAAGCAGTTTCCTCAGGTCTGCCCTCTTGCTGTTCAAGATGATCTATCAGCTCATCAGTGGTTAGTTCTTCACTGTCCTCCTCCACCAACTCTTCCACATCCTCCCCACTAACCTCCAACCCCAAGGACTTCCCCATCCTCCCCACTAACCTCCAACCCCAAGGACTTCCCCAATGCCACAATGGATTCCTCAACTGGCATAGGATTCTCAGGGTTAGCCTCAAATCCTTCAAAATCCCTTTTGTCTACACATTCTGGCCACAGTTTTTTCCAAGCAGAGTTCAAGGTCCTCTTAGTCACTCCCTCCCAAGCCATACCTATAAGGTTTCTACAATTGAGGATATTAAAGTGATCCTTCCAAAACTCTTTTAGAGTCAGTTGAGTTTCTGTGGTCACTATAAAGCACTTTTGAAACATAGCTTTTGTGTACAGTTTCTTGAAGTTGGAAATGACCTGCTGGTCCATGGGCTGCAGGAGAGGAGTGGTATTAGGAGGCAAAAACTTGACCTTAATGAAGCTCATGTCCCCAGAAAGTCGCTCTGACAAGTCTGTAGGATGACCAGGGGCATTGTCTAATACCAGGAGGCACTTAAGGTCTAATTTCTTTTCAGTTAGGTAATTTTTCACAGTGGGGGCAAATGCATGGTGTAACCAGTCATAGAAAAAGTCCTAGTGACCCATGCCTTACTGTTTGCCCTCCACAGCACACAAATTAGCCTTGAGGACATTGTTTTTCCTGAACACACTGGGAGTTTCAGAGTGATATTCCAATAAAGGCTTCACTTTGCAATCACCACTAGCATTGGCACACATCAACAGAGTAAGCCTGTCTTTCATAGGCTTATGTCCTGGGAATGCCTTTTCCTCCTGAGTAATGTAGGTCCTGCTTGGCATTTTCTTCCAAAACAGGCCTGTTTTGCCGCAATTAAACACTTGTTCAGGTTTCAGTCCTTCACTGTCTATGTAATCCTTGAATTCCTTCACATATTTTTCAGCTGCTTTTTGGTCCGAACTGGCAGCCTCACCATGCCTAATCACACTATGTATGCCACTACGATTCTTAAATCTTTCAAACCAACCTTTGCTGGCCTTAAATTCACTCACATCACCACTATTTGCAGGCAATTTCTTTACCAAATCGTCATTCAACTGCCTAGTTTTTTCACAAATGATCGCTTGAGAGATGCTATCTCCTGCTATCTGTTTTTCATTTATCCACACCAATAACAATCTCTCAGCATTTTCTAACACTTGTGGTCACTGTTTCATAATCACCATTGCACCTTTTGCAAGAACAGCTTCCTTGATTGCCGTTTTCCTGGTCACTATAGTAGAGATGGTTGATTGGGGTTTATTATACAACCTAACCAGCTCCGACACACGCACTCCACTTTCGTACTTTGCAATTATCTCTTTCTTCATTTCATAGGTCATTAGCGACTTTTTTCTTGAAGGGTTGGCACTAGAAGCTTTCTTGGGGCCCATGGTGACTTATTTTGCAGAAACAAGCACCAAACACAGTGATAATATGGATAATATGGAATGTACCGAATGTATCCTTAGATGTGCGCACACTGGCTGGCTTGTAAACACTGGCACACAAGGGGCAGTTCAGGCCACACGTGGACACGTCTCGTACGAATTGTATCGAATACCGGGTTTTCAATCGAATACCGAGGAAATTTTTTTGCGATATAATGTTTTCGAATACCGGATTTATCGAATACCGATGCCATCGAATACCGGGGGTCCACTGTATTTATTTATTTTTTATTTGGACATGATACATACTGTAGTTGTGCAAAGAAATATAGTGATTGGGTGTACATGCCAAAAGCCCCTTGTATGCAGAGCATTATGGGCAGGCTTAAAATTAACTTAAGAATAACTAAGCAATGATATACGTATTCAGTGGTAAGAATTGCAGTTAACAAATTACAACATGAAGTACAAATGAGTATTTCAAATAAGAAGCATTAAAGTTGTACAAATTTGTTGCATAACACTGTGTAATATAATCGAATCAAATCTAGTAAAATAAATGATTTGTAGTGCAGGAACAGGTCATATGTTCATTAGATGAGTTACTGTGCATTCAAGAGAATGGAGTATTCTATTAGGCAGTGTAATGTCTTTGCACATTAACTTGCTAAAATTTATTGAGGAAAATTTTTTTATAGGAATAAATTAACATTTTAGTACAATATGTTAAATTTTGAACTGTGTAGCATATTTAACCCTTTGGGGGTTTCGGACGTATTAGTACGGCTTACGACCCAGGGTTTTTGACGTACTAGTACGCCTAAATTCTAGCGCCCTCAAATCTAGTGAGAAAAAGCTGGTAGGCCTACATATGAAAGAATGGGTCTATGTGGTCAGTGTGCGCAGTATAAAAAAAAATCCTGCAGCACACAGTGCATAATGAGAAAAAAAAAACTTTGACTGTGTTTTTGGATTAAAACAGCGACCTTGTACTGTATTTTCATATGGTATTTATTGTTGTATTCTAGTTTTCTTGGTCTCATTTTATAGAATGGAAGACATATTACAGAAATTGAGATGATTTTGACTGGTTTTACAATGAAAAGCACCTTGAAATTGAGCTCAAAGTAGCAGAAATGTTCGATTTTTACCAAAGTTCAAAAGTAAACAAATCATGCCAAGCGTCCAATACACATCAACTGGTGAGTCTAATATGCTTTCACAAGTGCGCTGATATTATTTATACCATTTCTACACTAATGCAGTAGTCTGCATAACGGTAAATCTTATTTTTTTTTTTGTAATAAAAATTCAAAGTGGAAAGCCAAAGAAATATAAGAGGGGCCTGGGGATGTGACTAACGAACAGAGAACTTGTTATTTTAGTGCCAGGAATGTCTTTCTTGTTTATTCTGGACCCTATTCAGAAATTGGCATCTTTTGAAATTTGTGTGGAATTGGCAAAATTGCTAAATTCTGACAACTTTATTGGATAGTTGAAATTGGTAAATGGGTGGTTTCTTGTACTCATTCGATAGAAAAAATGGAGTTCTAGCAAAATAGTTATGATTTTTGTTGACTAGTACACTGGAATTGGCAGAAAATAGGGCTCAAAGCGGGCAAAATTGCCGATGCGTAAACATCGTCAAGACCGCTAACTTCGCAAGAGCATAATTCTGTAAGTTTTCCATCAAATTTCACACTTTTGGTGTCATTATGATTGGGAAAAGTTTCTCTATCTTTTCATAAGAAAAAATAATTTTTTTTTTTTTTTTAACTTTGGCCGACCCTGATAACAAGTCTCTGAGAGGATCTGCTGACCCCCAAAGGGTTAACTTGATATCTACAACTTTAGCCTAATGATTTTTTTTTTTGTTATTATGGCCGTTTCCTAACAAGTTACATGTAGTCAGACCCACAGATTTGTGAGGGTTAGGTAGGTTCCTGAAAGTCTCCATAAATTCAGAATTTGTGCATATTACTAAATTTTGTCTGTATATTAAAATTTATAGGTAGTAGGTTGGTAGACAGCAACCATCCAGGGAGGTACTACCGTCCTGCCAAGTGAATGTAAAACAAAAGCCTGTAATTGTTTTACATGATGGTAGGATTGCTGGTGTCTTTTGTCTGTCTCATAAATATGCAAGATTACAGGTATGTCTTGCTACTTCTACTTACACTTAGGTCACACTACACATACATGTACACGTTTATTTATACACATCATCTGAGTTTTCTTCGATTTTATCTTAATAGTTCTTGGTCTTATTACTTTTCCTTTTATATCCATGGGGAAGTGGAATAAGAATCTTTCCTCCGTAAGCCATGCATGTTGTAAAAGTCGCCTAAAATGCCGGGAACAATGGGCTAGTAACCCCCTTTCCTGTAAAGATTACTAAAAAGAATAAGAAGAAGAAAATTGTCAAAGTGGGAAGTCTGAATGTGCGTGGATGTTGTGCAAATGATAAGAAAGAGATGATTGTGGATGTTATGAATGAGAAGAAGCTGGATGTCCTGGCTTTAAGTGAAACGAAGTTGAAGGGGGTGGGAGAGTTTCAATGGAGAGGAATAAATGGGATTAGGTCAGGGGTTTCAAATAGAGTTAGAGCTAAAGAAGGAGTAGCAATAATGTTGAAGGATAAGCTATGGCAGGAAAAGAGGGACTATAAATGTATTAATTCAAGGATTATGTGGAGTAAAATAAAGATTGGATGTGAAAAGTGGGTTATAGTAAGTGTGTATGCACCTGGAGAAGAAAGAAGTGTAGAGGAGAGAGAGAGAGATTTTGGGAAATGTTGAGTGAATGTGTGGGGAGTTTTGAATCAAGTGTGAGAGTAATGGTGGTTGGGAGATTTCAATGCTAAAGTGGGTAAAAATGTTATGGAGGGAGTAGTAGGTAAATTTGGGGTGCCAGGGGTAAATGTAAATGGGGAGCCTTTAATTGAGCTATGTGTAGAAAGAGATTTGGTAATAAGTAATACATATTTTATGAAAAAGAGGATAAATAAATATACAAGGTATGATGTAGCACGTAATGAAAGTAGTTTATTAGATTATTTATTGGTGGATAAAAGGTTGATGGGTAGGCTCCAGGATGTACATGTTTATAGAGGGGCAACTGATATATCAGATCATTATTTAGTTGTAGCTACAGTTAGAGTAAGAGGTAGATGGGAAAAGAGGAAGGTGGCAACAACAAGTAAGAGGGAGGTGAAAGTGTATAAACTAAGGGAGGAGGAAGTTCGGGGAAGATATAAGCGACTGTTGGCAGAAAGGTGGGCTAGTGCAAAGATGAGTAGTGGGGGGGTTGAAGAGGGTTGGAATAGTTTTAAAAATACAGTATTAGAATGTGGGGCAGAAGTTTGTGGTTATAGGAGGGTGGGGGCAGGTGGAAAGAGGATGTGATTGGTGGAATGATGAAGTAAAGGGTGTGATAAAAGAGAAAAAGTTAGCTTATGAGAGGTTTTTACAAAGCAGAAGTGTTATAAGAAAAGCAGAGTATATGGACAGTAAAAGAAAGGTGAAGAGAGTGGTGAGAGAGTGCAAAAGGAGAGCAGATGATAGAGTGGGAGAGGCACTGTCAAGAAATTTTAATGAAAATAAGAAAAAATTTTGGAGTGAGTTAAACAAGTTAAGAAAGCCTAGGGAAAGAATGGATTTGTCAGTTAAAAACAGAGTATGGGAATTAGTAGATGGGGAGAGGGAGGTATTAGGTAGATGGCGAGAATATTTTGAGGAACTTTTAAATGTTGAGGAAGAAAGGGAGGCAGTAATTTCATGCACTGGTCAGGGAGGTATACCATCTTTTAGGAGTGAAGAAGAGCAGAATGTAAGTGTGGTGGAGGTACGTGAGGCATTACGTAGAATGAAAGGGGGTAAAGCAGCTGGAACTGATGGGATCATGACAGAAATGTTAAAAGCAGGGGGGGATATAGTGTCGGAGTGGTTGGTACTTTTGTTTAATAAATGTATGAAAGAGGGGAAGGTACCTAGGGATTGGCAGAGAGCATGTATAGTCCCTTTATATAAAGGGAAAGGGGACAAAAGAGATTGTAAAAATTATAGAGGAATAAGTTTATTGAGTATACCAGGAAAAGTGTACGGTAGGGTTAAAATTTGAAAGAATTAGAGGTAGACAGAATGTAAGATTGTGGATGAGCAAGGAGGTTTCAGAGTGGGT